GGGGGGGGAACTGACCCGGGCGTAGCAGCAGCAGATGAGCAGAAGCGGGAGCAGGTAGCCCAGAACCAGGATCGACACCTTGTAGGCCCGCTTGGAGGCTCCGGACCAGCTCTGCCAGCAGAAGGTGCTGTTGGAGCCGGGGGGGTAGCTCGTGAGCACCTGGTGCTGCCCCACCGGGACCGAGAGGAGCAGGGACAGGCTCCAGATCAGGCACAGCCCCCCCAGCGCGTTCCGCCGGCTCCGCACGCACGCGGACTTCCTGGAGCGCACCACGGCCACGTAGCGGTCCACGGACATGGCCACGAGCGTGAAGATGCTGACCAGCATGGTGACGAAGGAGAAGTAGTGTCCGAACTTGCAGAGGAAGGCCCCGAACACCCACTCGGGCAGCGTGTAGATGGTGGCGTGGAACGGCACGCAGAAGAGCAGGAAGAGCAGGTCCGCCACGCTCAGGTTCAGGATGAAGATGTTGGTGGGGCTGAGCGCGCGCGCGCCGCCGCCGCCGCCGTGGTGCTTCGCCCTCCCGATCACCACCATCACCAGAGAGTTACCCACCACCCCGACCACGAAGATCAGCCCGAACACCACCGGCACAATCACCGCCTCCGGCCCGCCTCCCCCCGCCGAAGACCGGTCGGTGTCTGAGGGGGCAGCCCGGCCGAAGGAGTCGTTCCCCGGCCACGGCATGGTGCCGCTCTGCCTGGAGGGTCAGAGCCGGAGGCTGGAGGACCAGAGCCGGAGGATCAGATCCAGAGGTTGGGGGGTCAGAGCCGGTGGTTGGAGGGTCAGAGGCGGATGATCAGAGCCGGTGGCGGAGGGTCAGAGCCGGAGGTTCGGGGGTCAGAGCCGGAGGATCAGAGCCGGTGGCTGGAGGGTCAGAGGCGGAGGTTGGGGGGTCAGAGCCGGAGGTTGGGGGGTCAGAGCCGGAGGTTGGAGGGTCAGAGCCGGAGGATCAGAGCCGGAGGCTGGAGGATCAGAGCCGGCCTCAGACGGAGCCCGTGATCCGGGTCAGGCGCGTCCGGCAGGCAGTCCGGACTCTGCGGACTGCTTCAGACACGGGGAGCTCCCGGAGTCACGGCGCTGTTTCCGGTGAGCGTTTCAAAGTAAGATACTGCAGAGTCGCTGCCGGAAGTGAAGAACAGCCTCTGGGTTCTTTGGTCCACCAGGGCGGCCGGAACCTGCAGAACACAGATGGAAGGTATAAATGCAGGGATTTACCCATCTGGGTCAGAGCAGAACCTTTGGGTCAGATCGGAACCTCTAAATCAGAGCAGAACCTCTAAGGACCAGAACCTCTGGATCAGATCGGAACCTCTAAATCAGAGCAGAACCTCTAAGGACCAGCACCAAGTAAGATCAGAACCTCTGGGTCAGATTAGAACCATTAAGTAAGACCAGAACCTCTAAGTAGGAGCAGAACCTCTGGATCAGATTGGAACCTTTAAGTAAGACCAGAACCTCTAAGTAGGAGCAAAACTTCTGGATCAGATCGGAACCTCTAAGTCAGAGCAGAACCTCCAAGGACCAGAACCTTTAAGTAAGATCAGGAACGGTGGGTCAGATCAGAACCTCTAGATCAGATCAGAACCTCTGGATCAGATCAGAACCGTTCGCCTGCTGAAGGCAGGAAACTTAACCAGAAGCTGGACCTTGACCTGGAACTGGGCGCGGACCTGGATCTGGACCTGGACCCGGACTTAGACCCGGCCCTAGACCAGAACCTGGAACTGGACCTGAACGGCCTGTGGTCCAGTGAGTCTCAGCGGGTCCAGGAGCCTCTGAGCCCCTCAGAACCCGAATAGGACTGGTCAGAGGTTTAGTGCCACATCAGAGTGACTTTTTATTCCAGATTAGATCGGGAACCAGGGAGTGCCTTGGATCCGCCTTCTTCTCTCACTGACTTCCTGAAATGAATGAAACTGGATTAGAACCTTCCTGATTACTGACAGACGAATGAGGCCCCGCCGGTAACGAGGCTGCTGCCGGCAGCTGGAGCCTCTGATGACTCTGATGAGTCATTTCTCATCCCTCAGCTCATGTCAGGGTTTCTCTGGAGGTTCAAAGCTGCTGTGAAGAACCTGGAACCTGGAACAGGATCCTAACAGGAACAGGATCCTAAAAACCTAACCTGGAACAAGATTCTAACAGGAGCAGGATCCTAAACCTAACCTGGAACAAGATCCTAACCTGGAACGGGGTCCTAACCCTAACCCCAGAAAAAGGTTCCTAACCCTAACCCGGAACAGGATCAGGTTCCTAACC